TTTACTTCAGTTGAACAAAATTTCGAAAACTCAACAGTGGAATAATACAATAATTTAGAAAAAACATATGATTAATGTCGAAAAACTCCATATTCAAATGCAGCTAGTCAAATAAAGGAAATCAATAAACACAAGCGGCATCTCCATTTAGAAATTTTTTATTAGATTTCTTAGCGTATTTTGGTGAGATTGGCAGGGTATCTTTCGCCGGAGCGATGGCAAGATCGTGCTAACAACAAAGCCAAGCGCACTAGTTATAAAAGTTTCTTCGGAATAACAAGTTGAAAGCGACGAAATGAAATCATTTTTATTAATCAACACAAATTGATCGTTAACATTTATTATAACGGAGTAAAATGTAAAACAATATCCAATCAATATAAGAGACTGAACTTGAGGTAATGCTTTCCAGTCAATGAGTGCATAGCATGGTATGCAGAAGATGAGGGATAATAATTTAGCTCAACACTTGAACTGATTTCAGAGTCTCGGCCACAGTAATGTTAAAAGTAAAGAATCTGATGCTTTTAGCTCATAACCACGGTAAGACCAATTCACAAAAAAAAGGATTGATAAGAATAGCTTGCATTTACTTTTCACTCAATGTTACAATTAAAGATATATTTTTGAAAATAGTCAGCTGTTGAAATTTACAATTATTTCAGAAGCGGGCGTTTGATATCCAACTCATATCCAACTAGCGCGAGTGGAATAGTTGTTTTTATATTAAAAGCGCCCACAGAAAACAAAAAAAACTAAAGTGAAATACAAATAAAAGCGCCCCCAAAAATTACGAGTACGGTTACTGTACTTGCATTGTATAATGACTCATATACCATGATGGTTAAGCCAGTGAAAGCCCTTGAATTTCCTTATCCAACGAACCAGTTTTTAATAATAATGGTTATACCTGATATTCCTCTTTAAATTGAGAGTAGAAAATTACCGGCTTGCTCCTGTTCTGAACAGTAATAGCGACAACACTGGCCGTAAAAGATCACAATTATACACATATTAACACAGAAGACATGACAGCTTTCCTTTGTTTTTTTTTTTTGTGAATGGGGAGATAGCTATAGTGGGTTGTTGGAGAAGGCAATCCTTAGTTCATAACAACAAACCAACTGCTCGTGCCCGCTG